ACACACAGTTGATTGCACACAGCACTGATTGCACACAGCTGTTATCACTCACACATCCCCTATTTAACTCTCACTCTGATCCCATTCCACTGCCGAGTATTGTTTAGCGTTTATCACTCCCCTAGCGATAGCTACACTACGGAGCCTGTTTAGTTTGTCATAGCCTCACCTTAGTCTTGCCTTGTCTGTGTTCTCGTATCTTGATCTTCGCCTGTGTCTCTCGGATTCCTCCTCTCGTCTTGCCCTATTTTGATACTGGTTGCCCCTGCCTGGACCTTGCCTTGTACCTGGACTTATCCCTTGAGTCTCGCCCCTTTGATTCTGTTTGCCGATCATTGACCCCCGCTAGCCTTAGGTTTCTTCTTGTGTCTTGCCCGCCATATACCTGTCTGCCATTATCTGACCTATGCCTGTTCTATGACCACGTCTCTGTCTTCTGCTAATAAATAGCTTGCACATGGATCCGCACGTCTCAAGTCTTGTCAGCCCCGTTACACTATCGGCCTGAACAAGATAATTTGAGTTTTATTAAGACCAAATCTGAACCTCACAATGTGTTCCAGAAACTTGAACTGCTTCCATAGATGGACCTTCAGCTGACGCCATAGCAGCCCAGTTGAGACCCTGAGGTCGTTCTCCCTCTTTGGCAAAGGCGATGTCATGTCTTGTCTGTCTGCAGCACCTGTACCTCCCCAAGCTTTTGGGCAGCAGCTCAAGATGTGCTCCAGGGAAGCTTTTCTCAGGCTCAGTGGACATGTGTGATGTTGGCAAGGCCCCAGATACAACAAGTGAAATGGGCCTGGAAGGACATCATACACGGACTGGATCAGGAATTTTAGTTTATCTGGTTTTGTCTTCCAAAGATCTCTGGGTCACTGTTCTGTACCAATTAGTCCAGGCTCCCTGCTTGCACATAGCCACTGCCCTACTCCATTGTTCCTCTTCTGCCACTGCAGGGTCTCTACATGGACCAGTTGACCTCTCTCTCTTCCCTGGGCTTTTTCATAGTGAGATCTTTTAACGCTACCCAGCCTGGCTCGTCCTGCTGCCACAGAGACTACCAGGATGCCATGTCTCAGCTTTGGTTCTGCCTGCTTGACTGCCTCATGTCTCCACCACACCGTCTCTCCAATAGTGATGCTCTAGTGTAACACCTCCCTGACTCTGGTGACCTTAAATCCCTCTGTCAAGCTGGTGAAAGAAAGCTGCAGCTTGTGTCACATGTACTCTGCGTCTGTCCTTGGACTTTTATGTTGAAGTGGTTCCTGTGCTTTATTTGTAGTTAGTCTGTAGTCTTTCCTGTTGATTAGTCCCTGATTCATTCTAGGTGTGTCTTGTTTGCCAATCACCCCTTGTGTATTTATACCCCAGTGTTTCTCATGTTCTTTGTCTGGTGTCATCTATAGTGGATGTATTGTGTGAGCAAACTCCTCTGAGAAAACTAATCCCGTCCGAATGCGAATGTCTGTGATTGCAGACGATATTTTGTTTTTTTCTCAACATGTTTCCTTGTGTGTTTTGGCTAACGTGAACTACCGTAGACGATCTTACTGCACACATTTTTTATATGTTTGCCTCCCGGCAAAGAAATAAAAAAAATCTAGAGCCAAATCACGTGAACTGTTAAGACTGGCTACTGTAATAGGTAAGATAGGTCAGGTAAGATTACTCACGTTCATTTCTGCACTCAATTACATATGTAGTCTACCTTTATGAAAAATTAAACATGGTTTTACTACTAATAAATAAAAAAATAAAACGGTTAAAATAAATTAACCACACATTAACCACGATTTTGCTACTCTAGCCATATAGCTTCACCATGGTATCTGTAGTAAAACTGTGGTTATACTAATGATAATCAATCCAAATGTCTATATGCATTGCACTCAGAGAGTGTGATCTCTACAATGCCCAGATGTACAAAACAGACCCTCCCACCTCTTTAAAAAACATGGAGATTTTATTCTCGTCTTAAAGTTTTAATGCTGGTAAATCAATGCCTTGAACTTCCCTGGAAGTCCTGACTTATCCACCACTGATAACCTTACTTTTAGCTCCGCACAAGTTGAGTGGACTGCTGCAGTATCTTTCAGGGTGCCATCAAACATCGTCCTTGGTGCTCCTAACAGATAACAATGGAATTTGAAATCTTCTCAAAGAGAAACGGTGTATAACAGACACTCTTCCCTTCATCAGGACCAGAGTCCTGGATTTTAAAATGTTTTGGCATGATTTTTAGGAAATTTATATTCAGTGTTGGGGAAAGTTACTTTTAAAGGGTCATGAAACCCCCCGTTTCAGCACTGGTTAGTTCTCACCACAGTTTTAAAAAATGCTAAAAAAGTGGGCTTGGTGCGCAGCGGAGTGGAGGAGGGGGAAGAGGGGAGACAGACAACACACACAGCTTCGCGTTCAGACAGTTTCATTTCGCGGTTATGCTCACCAAGTGAATGAATCGCGTTTGTGCCGAACTCTTATTACAAAGCAAAAACAAACACTCTTCTTCGATCCATGAACGTTTCTCTCAGTTAATGTGCGCGATGTCATCTCACAGACTCTGAAACGTCTGTCATAGCAAATCAACACATGCTGTTGTGAATAATTAAGTGAAGCGTCTTCTCATAGGATAAGAACAGGCAGTCTCATAAATAATTTAATAGACACCGACGCGTCATTGATGTACTATTAGTCCATTGCCACGTCACAAATTGTGAAGTCAACACAATGTAGATTTTAAACCTGGAAGATGAAAATAGCGCAAAAATAGCTTAAAGGGGTGGTTGATTGTGATTTCACTTTTTTAACGTTAGTTAGTGTG